ATTTGAGTTTTGCCTAGCCCCTGAAGGACAATGAAAGAAGAGACTATTATAGCCTTTTGTGGAATAAAAGGAGCTCAAAAGTTGCATGTTAATTATAAAAATCTTAACTCTGGCTTATTAAGAAACATAAAAACATGGAAATTTAAAATTGGATCCTGTGAGGGTAATTTGTAAACCAACTGAGGGGAAAAGAGAAAGTGAAAAAGCGGCCACTGCCTTTGTCATTGAGGAATTTGTAAGGTTCCGAGTGTCACTGTGGGACACTGTGGGGCTATTCTAGAGCCCAGGTTCTTGTATTCCTGAACAAAGAGTTGGTCAAAACATGTGATATATGTATCAAAGTTTTACATTTATTAAGGGAAGGAAAAGGAATATTGTATGTTCTGCTGAGTGCATGTGGGCCAGTTAAACTAGGAAAACAAATACACCCTGCGGGTATCTCGGTTACTTTTCTTTTGGTGCTGGGACCAGATACCTGATGCCCAAAATTAACGAAGGAAAGGTTTATTTAGCCCACAGTGTGTGGAGGTTTTAGTCGGTATTCAGCTGGCTCCAAGGCAGAGTGGCACATGGCAGAAGGCAGCAGTTCAAGGCGGCAGAAAACAGGAAAACAGCAAAGAGCAAAAGCGAAAGAGCAGTGGCAACCATGGAGACAAAGAACAAGTCTGTTGCATTCAGGCTATCTGCCTCAGGCTGGGTGTAGCACTCACACCCATAATCCCAGCAGCATTTAAACCCATAATCCCAAGACTCACACCCATAATCCCAAAACTGGACCATGAATTAATCATAGACTAGAAGACCACCACATGACTACATGAGGCTTTGGGGAAACAACTAGACACAAACCATGACAGCAGGAAACAGCAGGTCACTAAAGAGAAAGAGCACAGTGGCAATGGGGTAAACGCTGGAGGTCTTTTATGGCCCAGTCTCCTGAGGATGACATCAAATCTAGGCTGTCTCATCAAAACCCAGCTTGATCCCATTTCAGAAGAACTGAATATAGTATTTTCTCACTGGTCCCTAGAGCAGTCCTTGGAATGGTTTTTCTGAGCATGTGCTCTGGGTCTGACTGACAGGTCACGCCCACTGGCCCAGGTGGCTGGCTGTGCCCTTATCTTCTGCCTCAGGCCTGGGAACAGACAGGACTTTGAATGTGTAGAGTTCACCCTCCTTGCTTCACACAGGAGGCTGCATATTCTGAAATAGTTCCTTTCCCCACACGACAGCAAGTAACAGAGCTGGAAAGGGAACTGTACTACCCTAAGCTTATGTTCTGCTCCCGTCATGGTGCCAACTTGTTTCTCATTAAAAATCTAGGACTATTTCTTTTCTTTTTTCTTTTCTTTCTCTTTTTTTCTTTTCTCTCCTCCCCCCTCCCCTCCCTTCTTTTCCCTCTCCTCCCCTTCCCTCTGTCTCTCTTTCTTATTTTAGTACAGGGTCTTACAGGGTCGCTACACACATCAGACTCATAGTGATCCTCCTGTTTTCAGCCTCCCAAGCACTAAGATTACAGTCGCGCCACCACACCCCTTCTCAGTGCGCCCCAGGGGTGGGAACCACCCAGCATGCTAGAAATCAGACCCCGGCCACTGCGCCTGCCCAAGCAGACACTTTAGTCTGCTGAGCTATTGACCAGCCCTAGGGAAGACCTAGTGACCATGTCTACCCTGTTGCTTTTTTTTCTGGGCATGAATTAGCTCTTGAGCTAGTTTGGAAGCAATTTGACTGCAGTAACAAAGGCCTGTCCTCTTAAATCCCTCACAATCCTTCATACAATTATGCATATTTACAGTCTGTGCCTTGCACAGCGAATGAGTTTATTAAGGTCCATTGAGTTGAGTAGATTGATTCTTTTTACTAAAGAATTAATGACAGTGTCAAAGAAGTTACTTAAGACAGAAAGTTTTATGAAAAGGCATGAGGGAAATAAAATGATGCCAGTATTTAGTGGGGAGAAAAAAGGAGTCCCAGGATGGTTCTAGAGAGGTAATGATCGGGAGATTTATACTGATAATTCATCATTTAGCCAAGGAGAGCTGAAGGAAAGAGACATTGTGAGCAAAGGCTGGTATGTGTTTCATTTTAGGGTGGCCAGGGATAGTGTTTCTTTTGAGAAGATAGAGACGTTCTCTGGGTCTCTAGTCTGGGTGGGGAGAACCAGAAGAGAAGAGGTTATAGTCAGGTAATAGGAATATGGTCATACACATATTATTTCCAAAGGAGTGAGTTTCCTGTTCATACTTTTCTAAGGGACCTGCTCAGCTATTTTTATTTTGAGTGCATTGCCTGATGTTGGTGAATATGTGGGATCCCCATAGCTCATGGTGAAAGTGCAGTGGGATCTGCCTCTTCATTCCTGACTGCTTGATGGAGGAATAATATCCCTCTGGATGTGGAAGAGGAAGCTCTTAATGAGCTGCGTTTTGTTTTGCTCTGAAGCCTTTAGAATTGATTGTTAAATGTACTCTGATGCGGAAGCCTGCCTTTGTCTAAAGAGAGGGACTTCAGGGCTCTGTGTGGGACACACACTTGTTCTAGCAGCTGTCACTGTGCTTTGATTTGTTTCCTCCTCATCCCCTCCTGGCCCGCCACACCCACAGCCTCGCAAGTGCCTGCTGTGGGGAACTCTGGCCCATCCCTTTTGCCTCTGGTGCTCCATGCGAGCTGTTTCCAGGTGGCGTGGCCCTCCTCTGAGACAGACATCCACTACAAAGATCAGAGTGGGCTGGCTTTTGAAGAGGGTTTTCTTTCGCATTCTGCTTTGCAAGCCTGCAGAGAGATAGGGTGTTCCTTTCATGTTTCCATTCCATCTGTCTCTTGAAAGGGCAAAAGGAGGGTCTCTATGTGGCCAGGGGCTATTGATGTTGGCTGCAAGTTCATTTCAAATTAATTTCTATATTTTTATAACACATATCTCACACCCGTTATTTCCTTGATCTTGACCTTGTTCCACTAAGGCTGCCAGAGAGCGAACAAGAGAAAATTTCTGTACACTCTAAAGCAAGAACAAAGGAAATGTTCTCATTCACCAGGGGAGTTCTATAAAATGCTGCTCTTTCTGCTGTGTCCTGGGTAATGGGGCAAGTATTCCATAATTGTGTTAATTATCAACATGAGCTTGTGCTGACCTCTCCTCAAGCGACTACCATGCAAGTATGGATTATCCACTGGTTGCTAGACATTGGAGGGGCTGCACATATACTATTTCCCATTTCGCAACAACCCTGCAAGATCATTGTTATTGTTGTGGTATAGACTGGGGCTGGGACTGAAGCCTCTGGTTAAGCTTTAGCCTTGTTTCCTTAACTCCCTTAAGGGGTACTGTGCACCTTTGGCTCTGAGTGGGAAACTCTTCTCTCTTGGCCTAGCCTTCTACCTATTTTTTACTAACAGTTGGACACACCTACCTGTTTACTTGTCCTCTCAGCTTACTTTGCCCCTGCAGTGCCACATTTGAGTAGCTGCAACAGAGAAGAGAGGGTCCCAAAGTAGAAATCCTTACTATCTGGGCTATTAAGACAAACTTTGACCCTGTGCTGTACCACTGCTGATGTGGTCATGTGATTGGCAAATCCGACCTTTTTTTGTTTGTTTGTTTTTAATGGCTGTTAATTGCTAGTGTAAAAACCTGGTCTGTCACCTCTACGTCTATCCCTAAACTTCTTTTCCCCTCTTTGTATTTCATTTTGTCTTCTAAATATTTTTATGGTTTTATGGAGGTAGTGGCTTTTACCTCTGAGTTTAAATGCCAGTTAGTAATAGTTTGATTTACTTATTTAGAGATTTTCTGTCAGGAGTCTCCTAATAGAGTGTTTAGATTCTGAATGGTTTCATGTGGCATGAATTTTTCAGCGAGACTTTCTTTCTTGAGGGGAAAAGGGCAGATAATGTAATTTGTGAGGTTCCAGCAAGTTCTGCTGCATTCGTTGTGGGAAGAGAAACGTCCCTGTGCTTTTTGCTTTACATCGGTGCACTGTTTTACATGGACAAACTCTAGGTGAGATGAGGTAAGGGAAATATTAACATTCATTGGATCCATATCCAGTTTACTGGAGGTTTGCCTGGGGGGAAAGTCGGTGTAAGGAGACGGTGTTCAAATGTCACTATACAAAAGAAACACTTTGGGTTGCTTGTTTAGTAAAAGTAGGTGCCCACAGCCTCATGCCTAGAGATTCTGAATCAGTGAGTGAGCTTTATGCAGGCCTCTGATACTGAGGAGAAGCAGGTTTGGGGTGGTGTCTGTCCTGGCTTGATGCCAGGATGATTCTGAGTGATTCCGAGTGGGCTGAAAGAAGTTACTATCCGTGATTAGCTCTTAAGTCTTATTTTTGTTTACCTTGGAAGGGGATATAACTATAAGCCTTCAATGTTTAAGTACAACATAACTGAAAATAAAATGATGCCACTGCCAGCATTTTTAAGCTGCTACTTCTATCATCACTAGTTTTGACAATAACATTTTATGTTTACGCTTCCGAGTTATAGTGTTCCTCATTGCATACATTCCATTTGATTTTTATGTCAACCCTTGAGGTGGATATGACAAGTGGGTTCGTTCTTTCTTTCTTTCTTTCTTTCTTTCTTTCTTTCTTTCTTTCTTTCTTTCTTTTTCACTTACCAAAGAGAAAACAGATTTACACTTGATCTTAGCCAAAGGGCCGAGGAGCAATTAGAGACAACAGGTTTAGAAAGCAAATGACTTCCTTTCCCAGTGTGGCCCAGCTACTAAGCAGCGAATCTGGAATTCCCACATAGCACTTGCATTTTCTAGTTCTGTGTTACTTCCAGTGTGTTGTGTAGTTCTTTGGTTTGTAGTAGAGAAACCGACAAGCACTTGTAACTCACTGCCTTCCAGCGGGGAAGGATGTGGTTCTGCAGTTGAGCTCCTTGGTGACCTTCTGTAGGTGGTTTGGCATGAAAGTGTAGATAGACTGATAGTTGTCTGATAGAGCACGCCTAGCATAGAAGACGAAACCTCTCTCCTTTCTTGATAGAAGCTTTGTAAGACGTGTCGGGAGATGCAGGAGCGGATCATGGACCTGCTTGTGGTGGTGGAGAATGAAGATGTAACTGTTGAGCTCATCCAGGTGAATGAAGATTTGAACAATGCCATTCTTGGCTATGAGAGGTGAGTAGATGGTGTGCCGCCATTTGTTCTAGTTCTGTTAGGGTGTGTATCGGTCAGCTGTTCATTGCTGGGACAAAATACCCAATACCTGCAACTTAGAGGAGAGTTTAATTTGGTTTGCAGTTGCAGCAGGTTCCATGCTGGCCCGCTGGCGCTGAGGCAGGACCACAGGTGGAAGGCATAGCAAGCTAAAGTGGCTCAGTGCATGGAGGCCAGAAAACAGAGCCAGGGAATCGAGGTCAGGGCAGATCTTCTGTTCAAAGGCCCTGGGCCACCTCCACCTTGGCCCTGCCTTCTGAACCCACACTCCGTCATGACCCTTAGTGGGTCAGTCCCCTGAGGAGTGTGGCAGTTCCTGTTCTAGTCCCTTCTACAGGAATATCTCAGTCCAGTCAAGTTGATGATTTAGATTAACTGATTCAGAGTGCCCACAAAGAATGCTTTTTCTAGATTCGTTTTTCTCCACAGGAGTGGCATTTGGGGTACAATTTTCCTTTGGGTGGGTTTCACTCCCTAAGTGCCAGAGGTGTGCTTCCTACTTAGTGACTTCCTAGGACCACCATTCTTAATGAGAATTACTGGGTAATGAAATGGCCCAGTGTAGTTGCTATGGCTTAACCAGTGGATGAAGAGTGAGACCAGTCAGATGTAAGAGGAAGGCAAAAAGGCATGAGTTCAAATCTATTGGATGATTTCTCATAATCTCTTTAACACTCTTAAGCCTTAGTGTTTTGTTTTGTTTTTTCTGTTAAAGATAGCAATAGGTTTAGAGACTTTTTTGAGGATTGCATGAGATAATATGAAAATACCTAATGGGATGCTAGCATATTAACATCCATTAAAAAATGAATTTCTTGTCCTTTTCCCAAATAAATGTCCTCTGATCCTTCTAGATGGCTAGGTTGCTTGTTTTGTTTGGTCTGGGTTTTTTGATTTTGCACAGATCATGAGTGAACTAGCAGGATCCTTGAGACAAAACCAGCAGCTCTAGAATGTAGCTTCTTTCCTTCACTCTCCCATATTCACTGCCTGTTAGAGATAGAAGCTGTTTAGGAAAAAAAAAAAAAAGAAAGAAAGAAAGACAGAGCATTCTCTGATACAAGCCCAGGAGGGATGCTCTTTCTTACCATTGCTTCTTTCTTCTTATGAATCTTTATAAGAAGAAAAGCATCCTTGGAAAGCCACGCATTTTTTAGTAGGATGCTGTCTTCTGGTTTTCATTTGGGGAAATTCTGGTGCAGAACTCCTGTAAGAGAGAAGACATCAGGAAATTGGATTAATTCCATGAACAGCTTGTTCTGGTTCAGCTTTGAACCGTGTGTCGCCAAAGTGGCCACAGTAAATTATGTGCTAGAAAAAACCCTGGAGTCCTGAGATTCAGGGAGAAATTCTTGCCTCCAGAAAAGATAATATAGTTTTGTGCTTTAGTTTAGAGTAAACACTGTGACAAGTTGTCACAAATTGAGTGGCTTAAATCGGTACAGATTTATTATCATAAGATAATAAACTGAGTTCACCAGGACACATCACAGAGGGTGTCCATGGCATAATTCTTAGTGTCAGTAGGGCTGCGTGTCTTTCTGGAGGCTGTGGAGGACACACCATCTGTTTATCTTTTGAAGCTTCCAAGAGGAACACCCATGGTCCTTGTCTAATGGTCCATTTGTCTATGTTCAAAGCCAATATCTGCTTCAAGCCTTCTTCCATGTTATCCTTCTTCCTCTTCTGTCTCTTTCCATGTTTAAGGACTTCCATGATACCTTTGAACTCTATCTGTGCTGTCCAGAATAATCTCACAGTGAAGGTGAGCTCACCAGCAAGCTTCATTCTGTTTGCAAATCTTAATTCTCTCTTCCCATGTAATCTCATGTATTCACTGGTTCTGCTGACTAGGGTATGGACATCTTTTGAAGGGGACGTTATTCTGCTATCCGCCTCTACCCCCTGGCCCCCAAAGATTCACCACTATGCCACATGCAAATACCTCCCTCTTATTCCAATATTTCCAGAAATTTCTACCATCATATGCAAGGAATAGCTCAAGAGTGCAGACAAAAAGTGAAATTTGTTACCTGGGGCTTGAGCTGCGAAGGTTGGTCATACTCCCTAGCACATAACTGACCAGCATGCAAGAAGTCGGTCAGTAAGTAGATTAAATTAAAAAGCATGCATTTTAGAAAAGAGAAAAGATACTTAAACTTAAGTGCATGTTTAGGTGTAGTATAAGCTTTTATTTATTTATTTTTTTCTAGTTAGTACAGTGTCTACAGAGTCTCAGTACGCATAAAGGACTCATAGTGATTCTCCTCTTTTCAGCTTCCCAAGCGCTGGGATTACAGGTGTGTGCCACCATGCCCAATCTCAATCTCGGGGGCCAGCATGGCTTGTGGTGCCCTGGATTGAACCCCAGTCTCTGCACTCTGCTTAAGCAGGCACTTTAATGTGCTGAACTATCTGGCCGGTCCAAGCTTTTAGACTTTAGTATTTACAGACATGGAGTCAGTGTGTTAAATAGTTATGTTGTATGTTCTGAAGAAACTTTGAGTCGGCAAAGCATTTCCACATTATCGATTTTGGCCCCTGAAAATAAGTTTCTGAAGAAATTGGCTCAAATCTTGTCATTGCCATTCAGCAGATGGAGAACTGAAACTCAGGAATTTATGCCCGGGCTCATGTCGCTGCTAGGTCATAGTTCTACTGTGAACCTTAGACTTCCGCCTTCAGCCTCGCTAGGCTTTCAATCTATCCTACCTGCTTAACCGTCCTCTTTTCTACTTAGTGGACAAACAATGTGCAATTAAGTCAAAGTTGGAAAAGGCCATTTTTTCCCCAAAGTATCAAGTATCCTGTAAAAATAACATAAATGATGAAACATTGAAATTACTTCAAATAGATCTGAATTTTTATGGCAAGTTACTTATGGTGGTACAATGAGAACTTACTATTTTTGAACTTATTTAAGAATATGAAGAATGGCTAAAGCTGTAGGAGATTCATAAGGTAAAATATTATAGGCACCTAAAATTATAGTTTTGAATAGAAACATACATTGTTGAATTAGGATGTACATTTATATAAAGTATAATTTCAGCTGAGTTTATATTCTTTTTTCTGGTACTGGGGATCGAACTCGGGACCTTGTACTTGCTAAGCAGGCACTTGTGGCACTGAGCTATATTCCCAGCTCAACTAAGTTTTTGAAACAGATTCATTTATAATATAATTAGTAGAAGAAAATAAATATTAATAATGTTAGTTTCTGGATGATTGAATTATTCTTTAAAAACTACTTTGCTGTTTCCTTAGTTTTCTCTTAAGAATGTTAGTGTTCTATAAACTTGTACAAGTTATTAATACTATTTTACTGGGTATTGAATAGATGTCAGGCTCCGTGTCATCATTCCTATTTGCATATTTAATGTTTATTAGGTTTTATACCATTTTTCTGTCTGTTCTAAGCATTTGCCTTTTGCTAATTCAAACAGGTTTATTCGAAACCAGCAAAGGCTTTTGGAGCAAAATAAGAGCCAGAATGGAGCTACCAATGTAAGTGATTGGAAAAGTTCTAAAAGAAACAATTGAATGCTTGCCCACTTGTATAGGAAAAGGCTTAGCTGAACTAGGTCTTAATAGAGAAGCTACGTGCACTGGCAGTTTGAAGTGGTATTGATGGTCTTGAGGATTTGTCTTAAGGTGTTACGGGGTGGTGGGGGCTGTGTAAGTAGTGACATGAAGCCATGTAGGTGGGAAGGTGTAACAAACCTTCGTTGGCCTGTTGAATGCAGAATTCCTCCTCCAAATGCATGCACGTAGGATGCTTTCCTCTCCCAAGGTAGGTCTGTAGGGAGGAGAAAGCCATGATGAATTAGAGGGAACATTGTTTTCTAAACCACCTTTTTCTTCGCTTTGTTTTCAGACCTCCAGCGAGCCTTCTGCTCCGTCTTCTGATCTCCTTGACCTGAGTCCCAGCCCTTTGATGCCCAGAACCACTCAGGGAGACTTCAACAGCATGAATGCCCAGCTTTCAGACTTAAGTAAATAAGGAATTGGGCCTTTTCAGACCAGCAGAAGAGCTTGGTTTCTTGAGTAAATACCTCCTAAGAAGGAAGAATCAATTTGAGTATCAGGGAACACTATCAGGAGATGTCCATTACTTCCTGATAAATATTCCTGATAAATAGTTGGGTCAGACCCAGTACAGGAATGGGATATGTCTGCGGTTGAAATCTTTTATTTGTTTATTTATACTGGGAATCAAACTCAAGACCTTACGGTAACCAGGCAGGTGCTTGTGCCACGGAGCTATATCTCTAGCCAGGAAGTCTTTTAAACTCATCCCACTGGCTTTGGATCCCATGGAATTCAGCTGGTCTGCTTTGCAGAGGTTGTCCGGCTTGATAACCAGTACTTAGGTCTCTTCTGAATCCTCACATTATCTGTTATGTTTGGATTTTTCTGCTCTACCATCAAATCAGGTAAGGGAATATTTAATGTAGTCAGAAAAGTTTAGGAATGATGAGCCAATCCATGCAGTGATGAAAGGTAGAGCGGAAAAACAGCCTTCAGTGTCAAAAAGTCTTAAGTTGAAATCTTACTTCTGCCACTTCTTACTGACCTACCCTTTAAGACTTCCTTGCTTTATAAAATGGGAACAGTTACTGCCTTAATGGGTTGCAGTGAAGGTAAATGAAATAATGTTTATAAAATTCGCTGTTGGTGTGGGGTTACCTGTCTTACCTAATTTATTTGTTATCTTCTACCCTTACTCCTGCAAAGTATTGGTAAATTCTAAACTAAGGATGATGAAGAATGCTAAAATCTAGTAGTGCCTGACTAAAATCACTTCATTTTTCTCTTGCCTTGTCTAGAACTGCCAAGTTTGTGGTTTTTCTAATAGCTTTTATCATGTGAGACGGGGCTTTGCTTATGCGAGATGGACAGAATGAATTGTGAGGGAGACTTTTCCTGTGTTTTTGTCAGGAATTTTCAGAGAGGACATAATTATTACCTTCAGGATTTCACTTGAGTAGTGGAAATTTAAGAGTTTTGAAGAAAGGGTAGAGCTCCGTGTAAACCATAACTTTACTTTTGTGCTGAATTGAAAAATCCTTTCCATTCCGGCTTAGTTTGAGATTTCAGAAAAATCCAATTCAAAACTTTTTTTTTTTTCCCGTTACAACAACTTCTTTTACTGGGAAAGCATATCTTTCTGTGACCTCCCGCTGTAAATACTCCTTTTAAATCTTTCTTAGGGGAAATATGATTTTACATATGGGACAGAAATATCTACATTGCATTAAGTTTGTCTAGAAAATTCATTCTAATGACTGATTGAAAAAAAAAATGTTTTAAAGCCGAACAAGTCCATTTTGTGTTCTAGGTTTCAGCTCTCCAAGTCCTATTGTAACAAACAACTCAAATTCCAGTCTTTATCCACATGTGGATTTGCTAGCCTTGGAAAATACAGAAATATCTCCGTAAGTATGTCAGTAGCACCACAGACCCAACACCATGGCATTCTTGTTCCTTACATTTAAGAAAACAGACGTAATAGGAAAAAAGGGGTACTTACGGATTAGACAAACCTGAGCTAGCATCTCAGCACGGCTTTCTGTGGGATAAGACATTTAGCCACTGCGAGTCTTCATTTTTTTCTTCCAGAATACATTCTAGGAGTCTTACCGAGATTCCTGAGAATGAGCTCGGTCTGTGAGATTCCTAATACCACACTTAGTACATTATAATCCTTTAATAAATTGTCTCTTTTGGTTATTTTTTTAGTGGTCAGCAGGACATAGGGGACAAGAGGGCAAACATGATGACAAAGGTGGAAGAGGATAAGCAAGGTTCAAAAATCATTAAAAGCGATGGCCATGCCAATGTCACAAAATTTCTGCCACAGAGCATGTGCTCTGTGTTTTGTTCGTTTCATATAATCTCTGTACAAGTTCTGGGTCAGTGCTGTAGTCATCTCTAATATACAGAAGAGCAAAGTTCATAAAGTTTAGAACGGACAGGTCACTAAGAAATACTAATGACCTACAAGCCTATTGAAAGATACTCACCTTTGCTCGTAGTTAAACATTTTGTCTTTAGCTTTTAGATCAGTGAACACCAAATGTTTGCTAACAGACGTTGTTGGTATGGAAAGACAGACAGTGTCACAATATTATGCAGCTCTCATGAGAGCATGTGATAGCATCTATTAAAAAATTAGAAGTATTTTAACCTTTGTACCTGCAGTCTTATTTCTAAGAATTAACACTGCATTCATACAAAGTCATCAGAGATGTATAAGATTATTCTTTACGACATGTCGGGCGGTGGTAAATAAATGTAAATGACTCAAGTGTCCTCTCATTTGGGGCTGATTTGAGCCTGGTTGAATAAACATTTAGGTAGTGTGTTGCTACACAAGTGAGGAGAAGGCAGTGGGCTGTGTGAGAGACAGTCACCGGTAGTTATTGTTATGCGGGAGAAAATGATGCACAGTCGTGTCTGTCTGTGACAGCATGTGTGTGTAGGAAAATGAGAAGAAAGAATGTCTATTAATATGTGCCTCTGTTTGCAGAAGTAAAAATAGAAAGGCTTCAGAAGAAACTAAAAAGAACAGTGACTTAAGGTTAGAGAGGCAGGAGAGAATAAATACAGTAAAAGATGAACTAGTTGAATTTGCCTCGTCAAAAAGCCATGTATCACAATAAACTTCAATGAGACAGATATCAAATCAACACAAAAAACGTATAAAGAGATTTCTTGATCCTCTATCTCTTCTTTCCTCCTTCCCCTCAAATCACACTCTGCTTCCATCAAGGTAACCACTTTGTGAGGTTCTTTGTCCTTTCAAAGTATCTTTGTGTAATGATGAATGTGATTTTTGTCTCCTTTATCAAATAAAATGGAGCATCCCATTACATTGTTCTAAATTTTGCTTTTATCTTTCACTTAACAAATATCAGTGTTTCTCTAGCAATCAACATAGATCTCTTAAAAGCTTGCCTAGTGTTCTACTAAACACTTACAGAACCAATCACTAAGTTACTTTTCTATATTTAAGAGAGTCTTATGGGCTGTAGGAACAAGAATGAGAAATGAAAATTAACCTGGGAATCTGGAAAACCGAAGCAAAGACAAAAACAAAAGAAGTAAAAGAAAAGGGAAGAAAAGAAAAGACAGACTCATAGGCTGGGAACAGATATTGTCAGTAGCTATTTTCCTAGACCACAAATTTGGGTCAGTGCCATAGGGTGTGACAACTGTCTTGACTCCAAGCAGTGCAGGTAGTTAACTTGATAAATAATGTCTAAAATAACCAATTTGGTTATTAATGCTCATCTAGTTGGATACTATGGAAAAAGAAATGAGTAATACAGATAAATACTGCATTAAGACAAATATCTCCATAAAATGCAGTAAGAAAATAATGCTAGTTGATAGTTTATTTTAATTTTTACTCTTGCATATTGGTGATACATGATTGGTCTTCCTTGTGGGGGGTTGGTACATGCACATGACGCGTCTTAGTTCTTTATTCACTTCCTTTCCTTCCTCTTCTTCCCCAACAGCAGTTTATCTTCATCTTTAGTTGAATAGATTCCATACTTTGCTATGCAAAAAATTCACTTGAGTAACGTAAAAAACATGCATTTGCCCCCTCCCCCCGAAATTCTGATTCAGTAGCTAGAATTTTTAGCTTTCTTAAGCATCCCAGGACAAAAGCAGTGGGATTTCAATCATAAGAAACTCTGTTACAGGGGCTGGGGAGATAGCTTTGGTAGAATAAGCACCTGCCTGGCAAGTACAAGGTTCTGAGTTCAATCCCTGGTACCGCGTACGCACATAAAAAGAAACCCCGTTATAAGCCTCTTAAGATGCGATGTTAAAATGGATAAATGGTTCTTGGAATCTACTATAATGATAATCTGTGGTATCTGTAATGTTTTTGTTTTCTGGACTTTTTGAGGCTTTTGTGTCTATATTTTGCTTGCTTGCTTGCTTGCTTGCTTTCATTCATGTGTTTTGGTTGTTGTAGGGTGGCACTACACAGCTCAGACTCATAATGATCCTCCTGCTTTCAGCCTCCCCAGCGCTGGGATTACAGATGTATGCCACTACGCCTGGACTCTGTGGCCAGCTCAGCCTGCCCTGGGGGCAGGGCTGGCGTGGCATGTGGTGCCGGGGATCTAACTGTGGTCCCTGTGCTTGCCTAAGCTTGCCTAAGCAGGCGCTTTAGCCCCCTGAGCTATCTCGCCAGCCCTGTGTCTATATTTTCTAACATAAAAGATTTATAGATGAATGAAACTATAATTAGATTTTTTCCTTTTTTTAAGTACTGGACATTGAAATCAGGGCATTTGGAATGAGTTACATCCCCGACCAGACCTTTAACTTTAAAAAAAAATGTTGAGATAGGGGTCTCTCACCGATGCTGGGCTTTAAGTTGAGGTTCTCCTAGATGAGCTTCCAAATGGGATGGTTACAGCGTGAGCCACTGTGCCTAGCTTTGTAAAGAATTTTTTTTTTACAGAGTCAGAAACTGAAGCCCTGTAAAGTTGACTAGTGCACGTGTGGGAGCCAAAGCACATGTCTTAGACCAACCAGAAGAGGCAGAATCAGCCATTACCATGTTACATGTCTTTTCTTTCTTTCTTTTTGTTTTGTTTTGTATTTTTAGGGAGGGTCTACAGGGTGTTCAGGGTCTCACTACTAGATCGGACTTGTAGTGATTCTATTTACAGCCTCCCAAGAGCTGGGATTACAGGTACGCACCACCACGCCCAGTCTCAATTGCAGTCTCAGCGTGCCCCGGGGGATCGGCAGGCCTGAGGATCGAACACCTGGCCCCAGCGCCTGCTTGCAGGTGCTTTAATCTGTTTAGCTATTTGGCCGGCCCTAAAATGTTACAAGTCCTGAGATTTATCTGCTCCTCTGTGTTTGCAGTTTACTTTCCTCACTGTCCAGGAACAAGTGAATAACACAGTTATCCATCACAGAAAGGATTTCTGGGAAACGATTATGATGGGAGAAAGTCTTTCAGTTATAGACCCACTTGCCATCAAGCACTGGCTGAGAAGACAGGCTGGCTTATGGCTGATGTTTCCAATAAGCTATGAGGCAGGACCACCACTATCCCTCTAACTTACCCCTGGAGGAAACCAAAGTAGAAAACACTTAACTTGTCAGCAGCTGCCCAGCTAGCCCTGAAACAGGACTCAAGTTCAAATGGGTCTGACTTTTTTTTGTTCTTGCTGAGACAGAATCTCTGTGTAGCCCAGGCTGGCCTCAAAGCTGAATTTGTCCTGCCTCAGCCTCCTATAGAGCTGATTTATACTTGCATTCATTGTTTTAACTTTAATTTCACTTTAAGAATTCCCAAATAGTAAAACTGCACCTTTTTAAAAGTCTGGTATACATTCTAAGAATATTAACATGTGTAAAGAAATCCTGCATTTCACTGAAGTCAAGACCCAAAAGTCAGTCTACCCCTCATCCCAACAACCTCTCAAACTCCCCTCTGCTATTTTTTTCATACTTACACCCTCTTGCCCTTATTTTTCAATCCCTGATCACAGCCCATTTATTCCCTGTCACTGGTTTGTTTTCAAGAATGCCATCTAAATAGAATCATAGAGTATATAATTTGTTCTAAAACAGGTGACTAAAATTGCTCTTTCATGTATCTTAGAAGCTCTTTAATAAAGTGCAAGTGCATTCAGGAGTATTCTGTTCTGTTGGTGAATTAACTTTTATCATGTATAATTTCCTTCTTTGTTTTGTTTCATTTCCTAGCCCTTTGATTTTAACATATGTATAAACTGTAGTGTTCTTTTGATTCACATGTATCTTTTTCCTTAACTGTGTCAGAATTGTAGTTTCTTATAGTTAGTACATAGTTGGCTCAGATTTTTTTATATTCTCATAATTTCTGGCTTTTCATTGATGTGTTTAGATCATTTGCATGTATAGTAGTATGCTACACTTATGTCGACCTTTTTATTTTTTAATGTATTTGGTACAGGGTCTCACTATGCAACTCGCAACTCACAATCCCGTGATCCTCCTGTTTTCAGCCTCCCCAGTGCTGGGATTACAGTTTAGCATGCCCACGGGCGGGGCCAATGTGGCATGTGGTGCCAGGGATCAAACCCAGTCCCTGTACTTGCCTAAGCAGGTGCTTAATCCGCTGCACTATCTCGCCGGCCCCCATCGAACACTTTTGAATTTGTTTCCTATCTTTGTTCTATTTTCACGTTTTAGTCTTCTTCTGGATTACTATAATATTTTTATAATTCCATTTTAATCTATCTGTGACTTTGACTATCTTTAACTATCTTTATATTTTAATATATGTATATGTCAGCACCTCAGTGATTATAATATACTTAATTTTTCAATTACTTAAACAGTGTTTAGCCACTTGAAGTGAATTGCAGACACCTTATCATCAGTTAGATTTCATGTTTACATTTGTTATCTTTTATTTTACATCTCTATCTATTGTAAAAAATACCAGACAACCCTGTTATAATCTTGCTTGAGACCTTCAAATACATTTTAAAGATCTCAAGAGGAAAATAGTCCATTGTATTTATCCAATATTTACCATTTCTGTCACCCTTCTGGTGTAATTTATCTTCTCTCTGAAGTTCTCATAGCAGTTGGTTTAGGGCCGGGTTACTGGCAACAGGGTCTCTTGTTTTTACTTTTATGTGAGGATGTCACTGTTTAAACTTTGCTTCTGAAGGATGGTCTCACTGAATACAGGATTCACAGCTCTTTTAGCAGATTCAAAAGGTGGCTTTGCTTTTGTGGCCTGAACAGAGACCTCTACAGTGATTTCAGTGGTCATTTATTTGTAGATAATGTGTTGCATTTTCTGGCTGCTTTAATTTTTTTCTTTTCCAATTTTAAGCAGTTTGCTGTGTCTGAGAATGACTTCTTTTGGTTTGTTTGGGCTTGGCTGAGGATATTAGTTTCCTAGGGCTGCCATAACAAATACCACAAGCTGAGTGGTTTACAACCACAAATATTTATTCTGTCACAGTCCTGGGAGACAAGAAGTCTGAAATTCAGTTTCTTCTGCTGCACTTTTAGGGCAGAATCCATGCTCTGCCTCTTTCTGATTTTGGTGACTTGGCGCTGCTTGGTGTCACTGGCTTAGTAACTGCATCCCCCCAGTTGTCTGCCTCTGTCTGCACCTGCCTTTCTCCCTTGTGTATCGCAGATCTCCCTCTGGCTTTCTCTCTTTTTTCTTTGTATTTTTAGGGAAGGGTCTACAGGGTGCTCAGGGGCTCACTGCATAGCTCAGACTCATAGTGATCCGCCTGTTTACAGCCTCCCAAGTGCTGGGATTACAGGGGTGTGCTACCACGCCCAGTCTCAATCGCCCTCTCTGCATGTCCCAGGCGTAGGGCCAGCAAGACAGGCCCCAGGGATTGAACCCCCGGCCTGAGCTATTTGGCCAGTCCTGCCTTTCTCTTTAAGATGGCTCTTCATTGGGCTTAGAGTCCAACCAGATAATACAGGGAAATAGTTTATAACCCTAACTATGTCTGCAAGAGATTCCCCCCTTTTTAAAATAAGATAATATGTTTGGAAGTTCTGGGAATTATGACTTGGACATATTTTGGGGGGTTATCATTTAATCCAACCACACAATAAAAATGCCCAAGGTAGAATCTAAAATTTCTAGACATATGAAGAACCTGCCTTCTTGAATCTGTAGGTTTATGTATTTCACCAATCATATGCAGATTTTAGCCTGTATATGATATATATTTTTTAATTTTTTCCTCTTCTGTTTAGAATGGATAATTTCTATGACATTTGTTCAGTTCCAGTTCACTGTTGCTGCCTGTCTTTTCCATTTTCCTTTTAAGCTCATTGTATACGGTTTTGTTTTCCTAAGTTCAGTTACTTTTTGTATTTTAGAATTTCCATTTGTTCTATATATAGTATTCTGTATTTTTGGCAAGACTTTACTTTTCTTTTTCTCTTCTTTTATGTAGTTAGAATAGGGTCTACAGGGTCTCCGTACACAGATGGGACTAGCGATCCTCCTGTTTTCAGCCTCCTAAGCACTGGGATTACAGGCGCACACCACCATGCCCAGTCTTAGTTGCCCAATCTCAGTCACCGTCTCAGCAAGCCCCGGAGGTTGGGGCCAGCACAGCACACTGGGGTGGGGGAGGTCAAATCCCAGCTCCTCTCTGTACCTGCCTAAGCAGGCGCTTTAGTCCTTTGAGCTATCTGGCTGGCCCTTTTACATTTTTTTTTTTTTTCCCTTCAAGAGTATTCCACTTGCTTCTGTAATTCTAACACCTGTATGCCCTTGACATCCCTGTCTGTTAATCGTCTTCTTAATGCAGGCTGAAATTTGTCTTGTTCTCCATTGGTCTAGTAATCTTGGAATCTATCTTGGGCATTTTTAATGTTTTAATTTTTTATTTTGAGATGGTTCCTCTTAGTTAAATCTTGTCCTGAATACTATTTTGATTGTGGTAGGCTAACAAGTTGCTTAGATTCATGCTGCAGTTTTAGCACGCTTGTGTTGGTTCTGCTTCCAGTGTCAGCTTGATATTCCAAGTCTGTGAAGTGTTATTCCCATCTGTCCCCACTCTGTGCTACCAATCAGACAAACTGTGTGTTTAGTGTTAAGCATCTTTGACTTCTCAGTTGAGATCCAATTCCTAGAGGCAGCAGGTTAAGCCCAGGCTTTTATAATCAACTTATGAGATATTTTCCTTGATTTCTTTAATTTTTATGGTTTCTCTGGTCCTTCTTGGTTTCTTGGGGTCTGCTTTCTCAAGTCTCCAGTCAGAAACTAAAACTTCAGTTACCCTATTATACCATGTGTTTCTTAGACTGTGTTGGTGTTGGTGATCAAAGGGCAGAGTCAAAGATGCCAGGGAGATGGCTCAGTAGAATAAGCGCTTGCCTGGCAAACACAAGGGCCTGAGTTCAATCCCCAGTTCCACAAAAAAAAAAAAAAAAAAAAAAAAAAGAACAAAAGATGACCAACAGGGTTTGCCTCCATTTTCTTGTGGTCACAGCGCCACCAACTGGTAAGGAAGATTCCTCATAAGAGTTATTTTCACAGATCACTGTTGCTGTCCCATAGCCACCTTGGGTCTACTGCAGTTAGGGATGTGAAGACAGACAGAAAAGGATACAGAAGGATATCCACAGTCTCTCTAAGCATTAGGATTCCTCTTTGCTGCTCATCGTATGAAAAGAAAGTGTGTACGACTGTTTTGTACACACTCTGTGGTCTTAAAGACAACCCTGTACCACCAATGCTTCCTATCTTTGCTTTCTTTGATAATTGGTAAGCATGACCTGGAGGACCCTGAAACGAGATGGCCATGGTTACACCAAGTTATACCACTCACACACAGTCTGGAGGTGTTACAGGTTTGGACTTTAGACCAGGAGAATCATCTTACACTTTGCGTTTGTGTTCTTACTGTAGGGTAATCATGCTGTGTTATCACACTATCCTAGGTTTGCCCAAAGGACCAGCCAAAACCTCACTTCCAGTTACACATATGTTAACGTAAGTAACTAAACCCTTCTTTGACGCTGCAGCTAGCAGATTATCTTTACCAAAAAGAACTCTTGGTCATTAATTCTCATGTTCTACTTAGCATTTCTTTATACTGCATTGCATCTGCCCTTGTTAGGGGTTTTATGTCCTTTTCAGGCTTGAAAGAGAGATTGTTTCACTAATATTAAAAGATGATTAAAGATCATGATTCCTGGGCTGGAGGGGAAGGTTCATTCTAGGGTAGAGCTTTTGTTTAGTACAGCTGAGGTCCTGTTTTTTTTTTTTTTCCAATAATTTTTTTTTTAAAATGTATTAAGTACAGGGTCTCCAGGGTCTCACTAGACAGATTGGACTCATAGTGATCCTCCCAAGTGCTTGTATTACAGGCACGCGCCACCATGCCCAGTCTCCATCCAGACTCAGCGCACCCTGGGGGCGAGACTGGCACAGCATGCTGGGGATTGAATCCCAGTCCCTGTATCTGCCTATGCGGAGGTCCTGGCTTTAATTGTTCACGCCACATGCAAAGAGGAATGGAGGAGGAGAGAACGAGGGAAGGAAGGCAGGGAGAAAAGAACCCTGCAATTCTCAGTCTTGGTCTTACCTAATTTGCCAACAGCATGTGATAAAGTTGGTCATTTCCTCCTCTTTGCACATGTAGCTTTCATTTTTTAAAATTTATTTTATTTTAATTTATTGGATACAGGGTCTCACTACGCAGTTGAGACTCATAGTGATTCTCTTGTCTCAGCTTCTCCAGCGCTGGGATTACAGGCATGTGCGCCACCATGCTGAGTTCTGGGGCCAGCACAGCATATCCGGGATTCCAGGGATAGCACGGCATGTGGTACTAGGGATCGAACTCAAGTCCTTGTGCTTGCCAGGAGGTGCTTAGACTTCTGGGCTACCTCCCCACCCCACACACATAGCTTTTAGGTGTCACTCATTAGTTCTCCTGCCTGGTTTCCATTTCTTTTGTGAGCCATTCCTTTTCCCGACCTTTCTGGGTGGGGTTGGAAACCTCAGGGCTTCGACTTCAGACCCCTTCACATTCACTAATCCATGGTCTCTGGGTCTCACATTTTGAAATAAGTTTGTTCCCTATGAGTTCATATTCCCAGCTCATATCTTTGCCCTAAACTTAGAACTCAAATTTCTTCCTACATAGTCTGGCCTCTTGATCACTTCCCAGTCCTTGTTCCCAGCTTGTCTTACAGACTTTCCACCTGAATAAACAGCCACCCCACTTGCTCAGTTCTCACAGGGCAAGCCTTAGGAACTAGTGTTTGACCTGTTTACCTTCAAAATATGTCTGCTTCCACCCACCCACCTCTTACCACCTCCTCTCCTGTGTCCCAGGCCAAGCTCCTATCAGATGACAACTGCGCTGGCCTTTCACCCTTTGCCGTTTCACCCTTTGCTTCCTACTATTCCTGCTACACCCACCTGACCTCAGTCTGTTCATAAAACAAGAACCTGAGTAATCTTAGCCAGAGAAGGCCTGTACGTCACTTGTCCGCTAAAAACCCACCTATGATTTACTTCCTATTTTGTTCTGCAAAAGCTTGAAATGCTGGTCTGCCTCTGCTCAGTACCTCTTCAGCCTCACTCTCACCTCTCTGCCTGGTCTCACTCTGCTCCAAATACACAGCCCCCCCCCCCTTGCACCCACCACACACACTCACTCACTCCGGAGCCTGGGAACTTTATTGTGTCCAAGAATCCCAGGGCTCCTGCTCTTTTAAAAAAATTGTGGCATGTACCGTCTAATATCGACTTGTATTTGTTAATGTTTGCTGCATGAAGACTGGGATTTGATCTGTTTTGTTTATTGCTTTATTAATACCACTTTACACAGAGTTTACATTGATCCCTGGTACCACCAAAAAAAAAAAAAAAGCTTTACAGCTAGTAAAAACAGATTTGGGAAACAGATATTTATTTTTTAAAATTTTTCTTGAAATTTCTTGCTTTCTTTATTTGGTACAGGGTCTTGCTATGCAGCTCAAACTCATAGTGATCCTCCTGTCTCAGCCTCCTCAGTGCTGGGAGTATAGTGATGGGCCACTATGCCTGGTCTCAGTGCCCGGCACAGCGTGCCCGAGTTTCTAGGGCTGGTACAGTATGCAGTACTGGGGATCGAACCCAGATCCTTGTGCTTATCAGGCAGATGCTTCGACCCCTGAGCTATCTGGCCAGCCCAGGAAACAGAGTTTTTAATAGGGTAAATAGAACACAGGGAGCATGTGAATAGAGGGAGAATATGAATGCCTCGAACAGGAAAAACAAATCTCGGCAGAGGAGTCGTAAAACTTACAAGAAACTGCTGTCATAGTTTTTAAAGTAATAGTTTAACATGACTAGTGCTGATCTAGTTGAATGTACATGGCTCTTAACGTGCAGTGTGTGTCTGAACACATGCTGTGCTTTCTTCAGATGCCACCACAGCACTCAAGTTCGGTACTGCTGCAGCCAGTGAGTCCACAGACCACCCCGGCAGCGTCCAACCAGAGGCCGCCGAGCTTGCCCAACAATCATCCAGGTACGCGACAGCTGTTACTTGCACCCAGTAAGGAAGCTTAGGAAAAATATATTCAACTGCCAAAGATTTGTTAGTCATTGAAAACAGATGTTAGAGGAGTTCATTCCCATTGTCGGCCTGTATCAGTGTTCCAGAAGCACACTACCCTGATTTTCATTAGGTGTAAGCAAGCCACCTTTAACTGAAATACTGTATTCATTCACTCACTCATTTCTTTGTATTTAGGACAGGGTCTACAGGGTCTCACTGCATAGATTGGACTCATAGTGATCCGCCTGTTTAGAGCCTCCCAAGAGCTGGGATACAGGCACCACACACAGTCTCAATCGCGGTCTCAGTGTGCTCCAGGGGCAGGGCCGGCACGGCAGGCCTGGGGATGGAAGTCCTGGCCCCTGCGTTTGCCTAAGCAGGCACTTTAATCCGCTGAGTTATTTGGCCGGCCCAAATACTGCATTTATACTAAGAAACACTATGGTAAATGGACCTCTAGTTGAAATCTGGAAGTCTTTTTGTTATATCTAGATTTGCTGAATGTGAGAGGTATCAGAGCACCAGTCTGCTTGTTTTGTATTTAGACTCTTGTACTTGAAATTTAAATTAAATATTAAATTATTTAAATCTAAATATTATCACATTGAAAATAGGAAAGTACTCTACATACTCCTTGATAAGCATGTGTGTTTATGGTCTCTTTTCACCTAAAGCGATGACAAAGAATGATCTCCAGCCACCCAATTACTACGAGGTAATGGAGTTTGATCCCTTAGCGCCTGCTGCCGCTGGAGAGTAAGTAATTTACGAAATGATTACTTGGTGTCTTGGCCCCTTTGATAGAAGAGCTTCCAGGGCTGGGTTATCCATTTCACCTTGTTTAGGTCTCAACAGAAATTGATGGGCTTATTACAAATGACTCATGAAGTTCTAGGGTGGTTGTGCTCTTAACAGTCTTCCCCCTCCTGGCCTATGACTGAAAAAATAAAATTGCTGGGGATGCAATTGGAAAACCACTGGAAGCAGTATGTGTATTAACAGATTCTTCATAGATGTCTTGGCAGAAAAGTTGGCTTTCTCCTAGCTTGAGAAGAGCGCTGTTCACTGCGGAAACAAGTTTATATCCTCTCCACAAGGAGAGGGTATTTTAACTGTCCTTTGAGAGCTAAATCAAAAGATCACTTAGGCAAAAGAACTTTTTAGTTTCACCACCAACAGTGTACTGGAAGTAGACTAATACAGTATTAGTGTGGGAATTGCTTTTTAACTTGAAATCCTTAAAAGTGTCATTACTTTATGCTTTTGTGTCAGTCAAGTGTATAGAGCTGAGCAGGCTCATTAGTACCTTAATATACTTGGACCGGCTGGAGGCTAATGTTCAGATGGTTGGTTACAGATTAAAGCAAGTTAGAAACCGGCAGCCTGCAGGTTGTTTCTTGCCCAGTCATGTTTTGGTTCACCTTTGTAGAATTTAAAATGTCTAATCTTATGACTGCCAACAGTTAAACAGTGGGCTATGTAAAAATAAAAGTCTGGACTTCTCCATCTTTCGTACACTCTCCCATCGGCAGGCCTGCGTTTCTCCATTCCAGCAGGGGCTGGGTAAGAAGCAGCCGCCTCCTGTACACAAGGTGTTCTGGGGTCCACCAGGCCCACCGTATCCAGCATCTAGCTGTTGCCTGGCATGTGCGGGCATTTGATATACTTTTTTCTCTCACTTTTGGAGACAGGGTCTCACTATGGAGTTCAGGCTGGCCTTCAGCTCACTCTGCAGCCCAGGCTGGTCTCAAACTCACAATGATCCTCCTGCCTCAGCCTCCTGCATGCTGACATTACAGGTGTGCGCCACCACGTCCAGCTGGCATTTGATATTCTGATCCCTAGTTTAAGCCCTCCTTGTAGCCATCAGTTTTGGAATAAGTTATAAATATTAATAGAGTTAAGTCTGTTAGGTAGTTTTTCTAATTCAGGATAAAGAATTTGCCTAGGTTACTCTGCTTGATAAAGTAGATATATCAATGAATTTATCAGTGGCTTAGGAAAGTGGCACTATGTAAGTATGGTTTTTAGAATATTTTTATGTTTCTATATCCAAGAAAATGATAGGAAAGTTATTATGTTCAATTAGGAGATAGCTCTAAGTAGATATTGATGTATCACAGGTGCTAAAAGTGAGACAGTAGAGGTGCTAGAGAAGTGAAGCTTTGGAAGTCTACACTGTGGTTTTTTTTCATAGTCTAATGAAATATGGAAAGCTTCTAAGGAAAAGCACAAAAATTATACAGAGATGTTCATGAGTTTTCATATAACTGTCCATGAACTCTAGGTTAAGGATTTTTGCTGCAGTAGAACACATATTTATAGACATACACAACATTCACGTATTGAATACTGTGATTGTTGCCTAATTTATAATGGTGAAGAGACATACTGTACTCCTGTCATCACTAAAATACAGTGTGGAGACAGGAAGTAAGCGAACTGAGCTGGGCATGGTGGCACACACCTATACTCCCAAAAGGTTGGGTGACTGAGGCAAGATTGTCCGGAGGTGAGCCTGGGCTACCCAGTGAGCCTAAGGAGTATCTGGGAACCGGTCTCAAAGAAAAGGAAAACAAATACACAACCACCACAACAAAAAATTGGCAGGCAAATATAGATTTACCAGTCGTGTTAATGGTATAAAAGAATACAATGGCTTGAATATGTGTAACAGAACTAATTTAAGTGGGGACTGGAGAAAAGTTGATGGGATGTTGTCGGTCAAGTGACAAGTTTGGGAAAGAGTAGGATATACCCAGGGAACAACCTGTACAGAGAGCCTGAGGAAGAAGTGTTGGCACATTCAAAGAACTGGAAATTCCGAGACCCTAAGCAAAGAAAGTAACAGGGAACCTGATACCAGATGTGGAAACTAATTTAGAAAACCTGAATCCATGAGTACGGCGAACACTGCAGACAGAGGACATGTAGGCTGAGAACTGAACACAGATAATGGATTAAGTAACATGTAAATGACTGGTGATTTTAGTAGAAGTCACTTTAGTGAACTGATAAGGACAGAAGCCAAATTCCAGTTCATTAAAAAGTAACCAAAGGAGAGGCCACAAGTGTGGATGCCTGGGAATCTCCTACTAGACCTTAAACATGAAGAGATGGCAGGAAGCAATGAGACAACTAGAGGATTCTTGAGTGATTTCTACACCTCATTACAGGTTGGAGGTATGTACTGTTGTCACACAAAATGGGACACGCTGGAGCATCTATGAAACCTGAAGGTTAGGATCTGGTTAGAGGTAGAGGCTGAAGATTCAGGAAGAGGCAATAATTGACCAAGTGTTTTAAGTCAGAGGTAGATAGAACCATAGAATACTACAGAGGAAAACGGGCTTGAAGATCTGGTGATAGTAAAATGAGATGGTTTTCATCTCAGGGTTATTTATTAAGAGATATGAGGTTCTTTCTGAGAGACAGCAGCGGTTTAAGGAGAGCAAAAGTTATAATCGCTTCATGGAGAATGAGAAAACTTTAGACACACGAGTGAATTGCAGGTAATGCTGAGACTACAAAGCTGGTCACCTTATTCTCATGGTGCTAACTGTAAGACTTCTTTCAGTTATGCTCTGTATGCAAGTGTATAAAGGTCAGGTTTTTAGATATAGCTGTTTTCTATCTACAGACCTATGTAAGACATATACAAATATAACGAACTGAAGAATGTTAGTAGAAAGGTCGCTTATCAAAGATACTGTCCAAGTTGGAGCCTCATTTTTCCTTTCAATCAAAAGTAAAAATGAAACTTTCTTGAAATGGACATCCTTTTAAAAAGGTGTGGGGGGGGGCTGGTGAGATGGCTCAGTGATCTAAAGCACCTACTTGGAACAAGCTTGGCAAAGCACAGGGACCACGGTTCGATCCCCCAGCACCACATGCCAGCCCGCCCCGCCCCCTGGTGGGCTGAGCTGGCCACACACACACACACACACACACACACACACACACACAAATAAAAATGTTAAAAAAATAAATAAATAAAAATAAAAAGGTGTGGGAATTGTAATTCTACAATCTAAGAAAGCTAGAATCCAGGCTTGAGGACAAAGACCTCTGTGTTCACCGGTCATCTGACCCTCCCATACAACCCCGTTTTTCCTTATGGTGCTGGCAGTTACGAAGCATCCCAGAACACTGAAACTGACACATAACCATTTGCTTCTTTTAGAGCTATTTATGAAGAAATTGATGCTCACCTCTACAAAGGAGCTCAAAGGAACAGTGACTGTTGAGGTAAAAACTTCACCTTATACAACTTATATTCCACAGTCCATATAATTTCAGGGCAGTTACCACTTTCTGTACTATTTTTGGTTTATAACAGACATGTGAATTGGGCACTCACATTAGTGAGGCTGTTACACAGAATGACTCAAACTGTCATGAACTACTGTTGTGAACTAATAAAATACCTTTATGATCTTATCAGCTAGAAATGATGCTTGGACATGCACAAGTTGGTTTATGGTACAGAGATGTTAACACAGAAACAGATGAATAGAAAAAGTTCTTGGTATGGAAATCAGACATTTGGCTTTAATATGAAATACATACCTGTTGAATAGCACAATAGAACTGATTGTCAGTCCACCAAATAAACCTGAGTTTTTCCTTATTTGTTTTCACTGGTCAATTCATTTATTTACTAATGGATTCCTGGTCACCAGTGACCTATTAATTTTATTTATTCATTTCACCTCCTCCTCCATGGAAGAGCAAAGCACATCTCCATCTTTTGTCCATATGACTATGGCTTTTTTTTTGGTACAGGGTCTCACTAGTTCAGAGTCTTAGTGTTTTCACCTCCCTTCTTGTTTTCAGCCTCCCTAGCAGCTGGGATTACAGGCATGCACCACCTTGCCTGGACTCCATCACATGGCTTAGTGTGCCCTGGGGGCAGGGCTGGCATGGCATGTGATAACAGGGATCGAACCCTAGTCCCTGCACTTAGTCCACTGAGCTATCTCGCCGGCCCTTGCTAAGTTCTGAGTAGAGAAAGACTAGGAAGAGGTATTAAAGAGTGGAGATTGGCCAGTTTCTTCTTTTTATTTTAGGTTAAAGTAGTGATCAGCTCACCAGCACCACAGGGGTGCCAGCTTCCTACAGAGTAGCCCCTGTCCGACTTGGAGGCCTGAAGCCAAGACCTACCACATGTGAAAGCCACACGTGGCCATCTCTGCTGCTGTCATGAGGTTTAAACAGAAGTCTAACAGTCCCAGGGTAACACCTGTGGTTCCTCATAACATTCAAGATTTACTTCAGTAGAACATGGGTGTAACAAATTCTGACTTAAAACTTACAGAAGAAAAATTACTTAGTTCTTAGCCAACCAGTTTAATCGCAGTATCTGATGATGCACCGGCCTTCCTACATACAGAATTATCAGACAGCTGTGATAACAGTGGATGCAGATGTAAACAACAAATGTGAGAAACTACATTATTATTGAGTGCCTTCATTTAACTACAATTGAATGTAAGTGTACAAGTCAGTTTGCACTTCTTTATAAATAATACTCTGGTTTAGAACTGTTATAACGACTCGATGATTGGAGTTTAATTACATTTCAAGTGCCTTCAACAGGTCACTAGAGTTTGCATCAAATGGCCTTTAATCATGATTGTTTATAATTTTCTTTTTACTACAATTAATATTTCTATTTGGAAAAAAGACTACCGGTAAACATTTGAATAAACCGTGCATTCATTTACATAAATTACAATGACAAATAAATATTAAAATAATTTAATAAAAATTTTTTGAAGAATTTTGTTTACAGAGGAACTTTTACTTCTGTATTAGTAAACTTTCACAACCCTAGCCTTACTCTTTAACGTTCAGCAAATTGGAACTAAGATGGAAAATGCTAGCAGCCCAGGAGATGGACTTTATTTCAAGTTCACGAGACTATAATTTCAAAGTAATTAAAATGTTCAGCATTTTGAATGTACAACAGACTTGGACCTTAAAGAAAAAATATCACATGTGAAATAAGCTCATAAGCTTTGAGCAAGTCATTAGAGCTCAGAGACTCCTCTTCCATGTTCAGTTTCCACCAACTTTATTTTAAACCGTTAAGTTCCTAGGTATATCAAACAATCACATGCTTTATTGAGGCTTATTTGTTTCTTATGGTAAAAGTTAAATCTGAGTGAAGTAAATTCACTGGAAGAAATAAAAGAACTACTTAAAAAATTTCAATTCACACTGTAGAATACTTCTCCAATGAGAATGTAAGATACATGATTTTTCAAAAATCACAAATCTGAAGCAGGACTTGGATACTACTTCAGTTATAACCTGGGACTGGCAGCTTATGCCCTTCCTTTGCTTCAAAAAATGTGTAAGAAAGCGTGATAAGATCAACATTCACCATTCTTGGGTCTTCTGCAAATTCAGGATCAATGTAGAAAAACACCGGCATGTCTACTTCTTCTTGGGGATTCAGTCTTTGCTCTTCAAAACAGAAACACTAGAAGTCACAGAAAGGTACTTGTTTAGTAACATTTCTACTGCCTGTCACAGAATAATCGTTCATTTCTGGAAGTTAAATTCTGGGATAGAATAATGTCATCTTTTCACCTCAGACTGAGCCTTGCTTTACAGAGTCAATTCTAATCTTAATACAGAAATCATTTGGCCTGGCTGTCTGTGTCTACATAGCAAACAGAAACAATGAGTGTAAAGGTGACTTGAAATTTAGAAGAAAAGAAATTTTCAGAAATCCTAAGTATCTCCTAAAACATTCTAAGAAGTTTTATTCTACACATCTTGTATTATTTTTTTTTTTTTTAAAGACAGGATCTCGCTGTGCAGCACAGGTTGGCCTTGAGGTCACTTTGTAGCCCAGGCTGGTCTCAAACTCAAAACGATCCTCCTGCCTCAGTCTCCTGAGCGCTAGGATCACAGGCATGCACCACTATGCCCAGCCTTACACTCATATTTTTAAAAAACATTTTATTAGTACAAGTTGGCAATTCACCTTAGGGAGTGAGAACACTTAACGTATCTTGATTCTTTCTTCCCTTTGTCCTACCTTCCCTATTCCTCCCCTTTGTTTCTAGATATCCTTCCCCCATTTTCATTTGGTTTATTTTCAAGTTTGAGACATTAAATGCTTACGTTCATTGTGTTTACCTGTATTTTGTTAAAATACTGTCCAGCTTCAAATGGTACAACATTGTATGTAGAAATTCCAATGACTGGTTTGTCAGTAGGATTCTTAGCTTTATAAAATGCCAGTGCAGTCTCTCCTGGTACCACCTGTTTTAAATGCACACCCATGATCAGTACTTTAAATGTCACACAGCTCACTTTTTTCCCCTACTAAATAACCCGTATTATTTTTCCTATGCATCAGACTGTAACACATAATTTAAACTGATAGAAAGTTCAACAAAGTAAATTATGAATATTACCCAAACCTGAGTTTCAAATTTTATCTGCATGTCAATGAACAAAGTATTCTGTTATGGACAGAATAACAGAACCTCTCATATATCTGAAGTCTTCAAGCAGTAACATGCAAGTTACTTAAAATGTGCCAGGGAGATGGCTCAGTAGAATAAGTGCTTGCTTGGCAAGTGCAAAGGACTGAGTTCAATCCCTGGTTCCGCCAAAAAAAAAAAAAAATTAAAATAAAATAAGTGTCCAAGGACAAGCCAAGCACAATACAGGCCAAGCCTGACTTCTTTATAATCCTTTAACCTAACTGTCATGATTGGCCTTTTTGTTCCCCTGTAGCAGGTAGG